CCCCCCCCCCCCCCCCCCCCCCCCCCCCCCCCCCCCCCCCCCCCCCCCCCCCCCCCCCCCCCCCCCCCCCCCCCCCCCCCCCCCCCCCCCCCCCCCCCCCCCCCCCCCCCCCCCCCCGTATAGTACGATAATACTCTGTAAAGAGGTCTGTACTCAAAAGGAGGAAGAAGAAGAAAAAGATAAGCTTTAATATAGAATTAAAGTAGAACATTTTAATAAGAATTAAAAATCGCTTAATTTTGAAGGTAGAATAGAAAAAGGAGATAAAAAGAAGTGAAAATAAAATGAGTTAAAGAAGAGACAAATAAAACAGCTTGAACCAATTCTAAGTAAAATGCAAAAAGTGAATAACCCCTTTCTGTTTGGATTGTCTTATATCATTTTGAGCGAGTAAAAATTGAGGAGCTTTAACCACATATAGTGGGTACTAAATAGACAGAAAAACATCAATTGTAGCTATACGTGACAAAAAATAGAATAAAAAATGTGTTAATTTCTCATATCTGGGTGAACATCATCGCTTTACACCGCGGATTCAAACATTACTCACGATTATTAAATCGACTTTGCCTCAGGCCATTATTTAGTAAGACGCTTCTCCATTCAACCAGGCATTTGTGGAGGTATAACAGGTGTAGAGCTTGGATAAGAACTAGATCATCAACACGATGCTATGTTTATATTTCCCTATAAGATGATTAATTACACGATCTGTGAGTCTGTTACTTTTATTTGTAACACAAAACATTGTATGCGCTTGGAGACTTTGGTGGGAAACGCTTTATAAGCACCGTTTTAATTATTATTATTATTATATATGCCTACAGATTACAGTGATGAACTAAAAAGATTTATCATTTTTTTATTTGATATTTGTTTCCAGATCTTTGAAATAAACAAAATAAAATAGTCTAAGGAATATCTTATGAAAATTTGTAGTTCTAGAATATGCTAAATATTCCCTGTAAATAGAAAAAGTTCACTAAACTACATACAAAGAGAGGTGTAAACAAATTACAATAGTAAAGTGCTCACAGAAATGTTCATGACATTCATCAGAAATTGACAGGCCTTCCTCATTTTGTCATTGAAAATTTGAGTGAAATAGCATATTGCATATCTGTATTAAGTGTCTGATGACAATGACTACATCAGACTTGAGCTCTAGAATGAATGGAAGGGGTTTATGATCCGTCATGTTGACGTAGTAAGCAGCGTTGCCCATGCAGGATGTAGGGATGTTTGAGCCCGATGGCCAGATGATTCACGCACTCATGATGGCTAACTTTGCGTGACCCTAGTAAGAACCCCCTTCCTATACCCACCCCCAAGGTCACCCAGCTATCCTCCCTCCTCGGGGGAACCGCAAGACAGACATTCTGGCGGAAGATTGATCCCGACACTTTCTCACAAAGTACACAAGTTCACAACTAGTCTTGAAGTTCCTGATGTTTTTTATATGTTAACTTCGCATGATTATTACGAAATATGCATTCCAGGGACCTATAGATATCAAAGGGACAGCATGTACGTCATTGAGTCTTCAAGTCTTTCCCAAACACGCTGGTGCATTGACGCTAAACTATTAATATCTTAACGTAGAGATGTCGTGGTTGAGTGGATACGTCACTGGACTGCAGATCACAAGGTCTGCGGTACGTGTCCCACCGTGGCACTAATGTCCTTTGGCAAGACATTGATCTACATTTGTCACACTCAACCCAGGTGATGTAAATGTGTACCTGGCAGGAAGTAATTCTTTGAAATGCTAGAGCGCCGTAATGGTAGCACAGCTAATGCCGGGGTAATAATTTCGAAATTTGTTAAGGCGCTTTGAGCATCCCTTGGGATGGATATATGTGCATTATGAATGTTATTATTATTATCATTATCAATAAGCCAATTGAGATAACATTTAAGAAAGAACAAAGAAATGTTTCTGTACATTTGATGGTCTTTGTGACAGGTGTCCTTATGTTTAAGAAATACTGATCAAGTAGACACTAAAAAAAATCTTTACAAGGGGTTGTAAGAGCAAGTGATATCTTAGTAAGCTTATATTTTGTCCGTTCCTTTTGATCTGTTTCTAAAATATTAGCAAATTGATTCAGAAAAGGGAACCCTCCACAAAGTACAAATGTCAAAAGAATATCAAAATATATGCCTCAACGACTTTCCGTACAAAATTGCAAAATTTCATAGTGCAGAAAAATTGAAATAAAGTGTCTCTTTCCTCTTAATTGTTTGCTCGTGACCTTTGCTGACCTTTTAGGAAAGAAGCTCATCCATCCCTTCTCTTAAAATGACCCATTTCCACTCTGCTTTCAAACGGACAGTACCAGATGTTTGACAAGACCACCTTCTTTCCCCGTTACTCCTCGACAACGTGGCAAGAGGGGTGTAAGATGAGAACCCGAGGAGAAGGTGAAGGGGGGAAATGGCTAAATTGATTTACCCTTCCTCTTACAGGCATCTTATTTCATCTTGAAAGATGCACAAAATTGACTCTTTAAAGAAAAGTTCCATGTTCCTATTTTCAGTTAATTCTTACATCCTTACTCTGGAACGATTTGTCACTAGAAAGTGTGTTGATAAAAGTAGGGCCCAAACAATGACAATTCAGTAAACAAGAATGCTTTCGTAAAACCAGTTGTTCCCTTATACCAGTGTTTGTTTGGATGGTGAACTTATGATGAACTTTTCAAGATAGAATATGAATCAAAATGCCAAGCTGATGTGGCAAAATTAATTATGCACCATTTGTGTTTCTATGGTATATCTCATTTTTGTCATATTTAAAGATTTTCTAGAATTGGGGCATTGAAAATATAAATGTTCCTTCATGCGAAGGGTAGGAATTAACTTGTTGAGGCTTTATGAAAAAGGAGTGTCTTAATATGGTTTAACTCTTTCTCTTTAAATCTGTTTCAGATGTCCTGAGCTTAATCCTTAACCCTCGCGTTATCTTTATAAGATGTGGACCTAGTCATTGCACATCACTTACAAATATCTCTAAATAATTGAAAAAAATGTTAATATTGTAATGCCTTTAATTTGAAAATAGATCTTTCACCAATTTTATGCCAACTTTTTAAACAAAAGCTTCTCTGACAACTAAAGAGCTCTGCTTGAGGCTACAACTAATACAGTCAAACCTGTTTTAGTGACCACCTGTCTACAAAGACCACATTTTTTGTTTCCCTTGAAAACGTTTTCTCATTGAAACATGAACTAAAGGAACTTGCCTGCAAAGACCACCTGTCTACAAAGACCACTTTTTGTTTTTTCCCTCTGGCTGTCGCTATAGACAGGTTTGACTGTATATGAAAAGTGGATTCCATCTACCGTATGAAGATTGCCATTATTCATAGCATGTGAATGAAATGCCTGGTAACCAGGGGTTCAGCAAGAGAAACATTCACAAATTGAAATACATTAGTAAACTGGTCTGAAGGCTCAGCGCTCATTTAAGTTGTAAAATGCAATTAAATTTATATCACTTACAAAATAGGTGATTTGAACAAAATAATGCTTAAAGATGAAGTTGAATTCCGGTCATGCCATTGCATTGTGAAAGAAACGGTGTGGAATCGACCAGAAAAGGTTGATCATTTAGCATATAAGAATTTGTGTGTATTGCAAGGTTCTGGAATCATCAAAATGATAAGAAATTTGGCCAAGTCTTGGTAAAGTTACAAACACTATACACAGAAAGATGTATATGGGACTACACGAGCACGTGGCGTAAAAATCCTACCCCGAGTTTTACAATGTTACTTGACATATTTAGAATATGAAGGCATTTAAAGAGCCATGTTTTTCAGGGAACATGTCTTATCTAATGTTCTTCCACACTTGCATAATACAACGATAATGCTCACAAATTATTTTTCACCTCTTCCCAGAACTCAACCTTCTCTTTAATTTACTCAGCTGAGGAAACAATCCTAAATGTTTAAGTGTACCTTTAAATGAAATCAGAAATCATGCATGCATCGAGGATTCCATTTCTTCCCTGGTTACCCATGTTTTTATCTATGTTACTGGCCTTGTCTGTGACAGGTACACGTTCGTTTAACCAGAAGTAAAGCTTTACATTTCAACTTCCGGAGGAAATCTGACTTTAAGAGTGAGGTCGCGTTGGATCAAACCCAAACAAGTTACATGGACATGAGAGTGAACTAACCTGCCTCAATCAGTATCCTTCAATGGGAGATTGATTGCAATGTGATGATTTTAGTTTATCAATTTAGAGCTATAATATAGTCAAACCTGTCTATAGCAACCGCCCAAGGGAAACACAAAAAGTTGCCTTTGTAGACAGGTGGTCTTTGAAGACAGGTTCCTTTAGTACATGATTCAATGAGAAACCATTTTCAAGGGAAACAACAAATGTAGCCTTTGTAGACAGGTGGTCTTTGTAGACAGGTGGTCACTAAAGCAGGTTTGACTGTACCATACCATGGAGAGAAGGGGGGGGGGGCAGTAGACATGAGCATTGCTAGTCCAGTTTGGAAGGAGCTGGGGTGTCAGACTAAATTTGCTGACAAATTAGTCAAAGTTTACAACAAACAAAAGTATGACAGGTCCTCAGATTTTCAGATTTAGTAATTGATAGGCACAAGGAGATGGCAGTTTTTTGCAAGGGTAAAAATGACAATATTGCATATTGCCAGCTGCCTGTGAGAAGGCCAGTGTTGCTATTGAAAATGCACAGCTCTTACAACAGTTTTGCAGGCAGGGGATGATATGCACTTGTCATTTTTTTTGTGTGAGAATATATTATAGTAAACTACCTTATGTGGAAACACACTAAGTAGCAAAAGTTGGACAGAACTGGGCATATACAGGTAGCCTTATATACTTGTTGCTCTTGAGGCTCAGACTACCCTCAAGTAAGCCACATGAATCTACACCATCATAGTTCATGTTCGCAGACTGTATTAAACTTATCCGCCATCAACCTCAAACTTGAAAGAGCATGTCCTACACCAATGGTTGTTGCCCTTTGATACTGTATCATCCACTAAAGCCCCGACAACCTGTTCAGCCTTCACCCCTTATCCCATGAAGAACAGATCCCTCAAGTTCTCTCTCTAAGAAACGGATGCAGCATCCATCTGTATCAACCCCATGGCTTCTGAGTTTGCACTGCAAATCATGATCAAGGTACCCGCTGTTTGGAGCCAGAAGAGCATTAACTCTAGGCGCGTCTTCATCATCTCGAGATTGCCAAATAGCCCGCTATTTCTGATTTGGGAAATAATCCCGAAGTTACAAATCGCGTCTTCATCAGCTCGAGATTGCTTGGCGTTTGCGCATATTGTGAGTCTTCGGTCTGGTGAAGATGCACCGGACAAATAGCTGGATATTTTGCCAAATACTAGATATTTTGCAAACTATCCCAAGATATCTTGGGATGATAATCCCGACCAAATATCCCGCAGCTAATTGCAACTTCGGGCTGACGAAGATGCAAATTAGCTGGATAGTTTGCGATCGGGATAGTTCAAATAGCTGGATATTTGGCAATCTCGAGCTAGTGAAGATAGGCCTTCTGTGTACTATTAAGCACATGAGTTAACTTAATGCCCTTCTGGCACTCAACAGATGATACACAGTATAGGCCTCAAGGATACAACGTTTCATGGGCTTCGTTCCCTGACTTTGTTGAGAGCAGTAAACAAGCTTGTGAATCACTCAGTCAAGCCCGGATCATCTCCCTATCTCAGCTTTCCATTTTAACTTACTTGCTTCTCGAGTGTCTTCACGACAACGTGATCTTGGATTTCGGCTTCAGGAAGATTTCTGTTAGGAGAGAAGGTCAAAGTTGTTTTGAAAATTAAATGAAGAAGATTTAAGAACCTCACAACATCGTTGCCATGGATTTTTGTCTCTTTAAGGATTAAGTCAGTGGCAGAAGTGCGATAGCTCAGTGGTAGAGCAATGGTCTTACTAGAAGGCTCCGGGTTCAAAGCCAAGTTGATGCTTTTATTGCCCTTGTTAAAGCAGGAGTCCTTAATTTCTAATCCATTTTGCTTATTGCCATTTTGACAATCATGTAAAATGAACACATCATCATCATCAAGTTCTTGATTGAATATTAGTTACAGCAGTTATGGTCATGCGATTGCATTGTGAAAGAAACGTTGTGAAATCGATCAGAAAAGGTTGATCATCTAGCATAGATGTACTGCAAGGTTCTGGAATCATCAAAATGATAAGAAATGAAGAAAAGTCTTCATAAAATTAGAAGCACTGTACACAGAAAGATGTATATGGGACTACACACACGTGCGCGACACATGCATTTCATATCTTTCAACAGGCGAGAGATACACTAATTTACCAAATATATCAATTAGTAGTCGGTTTCCCGTCAAAATTGTTATCATCATGTAATATTCAAAACATATTCTTTCACAAGATTGGTAATAAGAGCTTTCATTTCATTTTTTGAAATTGGGGCGTTTCCAATACTGAACTTTACCTTTAAATCGGTAGCATTGAATTACCTGCACATAGTCAAAAGGAAGTTCTTTTTAAGCTTAGTGTGTTCATTGATATATTATCTTACTCGAACATGAATAAATATCTGTTGTTCTGGTAGATTTTCTACAAAATGAATATCAAATTCATAGACAAACCTATTTCA